AGCTGTGTGTGTCCAAGTGTGCAGAATTTAAACGTTTACAGAACGTCTAAAATTTGCACACCACGCGATGTGTAACTTGAGTTAAACACCTTATAATGTGCAGAATCATAACTTTCACACAGTAGTGTACAAATTTTGCACACTTGTTTATCCAGGGATAACTTTATCACGTTCTCTTTGGTGACACAAAGTTACCATGCGACAGATTACAAAAAAATTATTTTACCGGTTGTGTGTATTGAATTATAAATTCAGGAAAAGGATCATAATCTGGATTTTAGTGCCATCAGCTATTTGTAACAACGTTTTAAAACTCAATACTTCTCCAGGATAACATTTAGACTTGTACTGGCACCAAAACAACCAAGAAAAGAGCCAAGGAAAGAGATCAGGAAAGAGACAAGGAAAGAGACAAGGAAACAGGCAAGGAAACAACCAATAACGGGCCTGGCTAGAGCCAAAAGAAGCAAAAACCAGCACATTCTCTACCTCTTCCTCTATGTGCAAGAGAGAGAATCAAAGCATATCGTAGCCCAGCTAAGATCAGGTCCCATTTTGGACTCGAGTAAGTGTATATTCGTTTAAAAAAATGTGAATGATTAAATCCACATTTTAACACATGGGGAAAAGGAAGAGTAACTTGACTATACTGATGTCTACTCCATTCCTAGCATCCCCCTTCTTCAGTGATTTCAAAATCGAAAAAATCATTCCAAGAAACTGTAGTGAAGGAGAAATTGTAATATGCAAGAAAGGGCCATTTACTGAGGGTACGTATCTCCTCTACCCCTCCGTCGGAAAAAATAATGGTACGCTTTTCTTTTCATTAATCGTTACTTTTGTTTTGAACTGTTTTAGACGTAAAAGTTGCATTTATCAAAAAGGATTCCCCCGAAACAGAGAGTGTGTTTTCAATCTCAGATAAGACATTCATCCAAAAGAGAGGCAAGGACGCTATTGTCAGGTAAGAAAACGTAAAAATTAAGCCCCGCATAGAATGGGGATCATGAGTTTCTCTACAATACGACATTTTTTGGCAGATTCAACAATGCCTTAAGTGGTGGAACATACAAGGTAGAACTTCGAAGAACCATACATATTGATAATTTTGAACCATTTGACCAAGTTAGCAGGGAATCTTTGGAGTAAGTATTGCCTTCTCTCATGACGAATTGGCACGGCTTCCCACTTATACGATTTTTTTAAACAGAATATATGTAAAGCCAGAAGAAAATTGTGCTCATGAAGACGATCGCCCCTCTAGTGAGTATTTATTTTTTATCACTCGTATGTGACCACATTAGTGCAACAGCAGCATTGCTTAAACATTGGAGCTCATACTGTAACGGTTTTAAAAAGTTTCTGCTAAGTTCTTATTTGTCCACTATTATTTTGCAGCTGCGTCAGCGAGTACCACTGATTTGCATCCCGCACTGAGTGGCACCCAATACTTCACAACAGAGATGCACACAAACTATGCCTTGTGCTGCGTGCTTCTCGTGAACTGTGGTGTCCGCCAGCTGCTGTTTGTAACAGTTATGAGTCGACCAGTAAGGGGTATGTACTGATATTATTTCAAGTTATACGATGCGTCCTAACGACAAAGTTCAATCTGTTGCGCTGCGGTTACTCTATTGGGTTTGGTTACACAAAGTTCGCTCAGCTTTTGGCCACTTTCGAATGGTCCATGTTTAGAGTTTTATCGCTATTCTGCTGTTGTAGCATTTGTGTTTTTCTTAGGAGTATTATGTTCTACAATCTTTAAGTAACGTACAGACGTTTCTTATTTTTCCTACTGGTAATATTCGCGAATAAAAAAAACACATCAGATCGAGCTTTGTGTAACGGGAGCACAGCAAATCGGAATTTGTGTAACCGTACCGTAACAGATCGACATCACATGATTTGTGAAAGACTCTAACATGCGAACGTTTTGTTCTTATGTCCTTTTAGATCAAACATGCCGAGTTTTTCTACCTATTGTCATTCGCTACAAACAAATGTAGTATTACCTCTGACAGCAACGGAAGGACAAGCAAGTAGCCCTGCACAAAATTTCTTCACACGACACATTAGCAATGATTCTAGTCTTCCCTTTGGTTGCAAATCATCGCATGCCTGGCAGTGCGGGATTAACAACGGTAGTGTAGAATACCTTCAACAAGGAAACCAAACCACAAATGTGAATGGAAGTTTAATGTACGGGCACGAATCGTTACAACAGCCCTCCACAGAACACATTAATAGTGATCCTAGTCTTTCCTCTGGATGCCAATCTTCACATACCTGGCAGTGTGAGAACAACAACGATAGTGTAGAATACTTTCAGCAAGGAAACCAAACCGGTAATGTGAATGGTAGTTTAA